GGCAACCCTATAAATATTCTTTTGTTTTGATTTTTCTATTGTCATTTTTGTAAGTCATTACTTAATTCTCTTTAGTTGTAACAAGTGAATTATATAATCAATAAAAAGTCTGAATTAAAAAAAAACTGGAAATCTAAAACAATCTTTAGACATTGATTAGTAAGAACTATACAATATTTAACGATATGGAAATATAAACAAAATTGAATTCATATCCGACATCTATCTAATATTATAATGAAATAGGTATATTAGTGACATTCTAAAATCTTCAACCTATTTTCATGAAGATTTGTATATAACATCCAATTCTTTTTGATATTGGGCATTTCTTTTTTTATGTTGCTACCCTCGCACTCCATTTTTAGTTCTATTTAAAAAAAAATTATCTCTAGATTACATTGCAGACCTTGAGGAGTGAAAGAATGCCATAGCAATATGGTGCAATAAATATAACACCACCACCAGCAAATAGTCCACGGCACTATCTTCCTGTTTAGGGTATCCATTCTGGCTGTTACAAACAATGTATGTCTGTGTGACATAACAATAACAATAAACATTTTCGCCTTCGTTGGTGGCAGAAATTAGAGACAGAAAAACCATATCACGTAAAACCGGTTTTCCAGGTTTGGCTTGATATGAAAAACAAATATTCATTGTTAAAACAAAATACTTCTTTGAAAAAGACATTTTCCGCGGTGATGACAAATGTCGAAACTTGATAGGCGTGAATTTACTTCGTTACATTTACATTGTAAAGACACATTGACCCAAGGGCGAAACGTGTCGCATAATATTGGGAGTGGTTATCCTTTTCATTGCAAACAGGGTTTAAAATGCAGCATCAAAAAATATTAGCATTAGTCTTACAGAGCTACTGCTAAAAAATATTGACATTATGACTAAATCAGCAAACGGCTAGCTTTTTTAGTTCGTAGCATCCGTGTAAGCACGTATTGCACATGCGAGCTTTTTTTGTTATGACTAATCGGCAGTACGACTACATATTCATATTTCGCTGCCGACGAATAATCAGCCGAGGGTTGTTTTTATGTTTGTGTGTTGCCAACGCAGAAATTAGAAAAAAGGAATTTCATTTTGTGCGTTTTTATTTAATTTAAACTTGTCAAATCGCAATTAAAAACTGTCAATAATAGTACTAAAAACTAAATAATATATTAAATTAAACTCTTTAACAAGTATTACTAATTGTCTGTGTTCGAAAAAATTAAATTATCATAATCGCGATTTTTAATTCTCTCATATAATTTATAAAATTTCAATGGGCAACACTGAACTCGAAAAATACTCGGGTTTTGTTTGCTAAAAATCTTGCTAAGCAGCCACAGTCAAGGTGCTTAGTCTTCATTGTAAGCTTTGGTTGTTAGTCGCGTTGACAATTATGTTGTAGTTGTTTATTGCTATTTTGTAGCTGCTGACGAAAATCAAGAAGCTTTAGTTTTGTTTGCTAAAATTATTCGTAATGTATTGCTATTTGTTGCAGTTGTGCTTGGCTGTGCTGCATATTTTGAGGATGAATTTAGTTAGCAGTGCGGCAATTTTCTGTGTTTTTGCTATTTTGGCGTTAGCATTTTAAACCCTGATTGCAAACATTTTTATTAAGTTCTGTTCGCAAGAAAAAATCAACCATTCAAAAACTAAAAAATAACTAAATAACCGATATATGAATTTTCGTTTTACTTTTTGTCCAACAATAGAAATAGCATTGGATCAATGACATTTGAACTTGAATTTTACAATGGAACACCTAGGGTCCTGATGACGACTATACACGGGTTGGAATCATCATCATCATATAACAACACTATGTTTGTACAACAACACTTACACTTCATTTGCATTTTTATGAGAAATGTTACAACGTCACGTAATAGAATGAACTAAATGTACACGTCGTTTTTTGTTGTTGGCATAACATGATTATATAAAGCTAGATGCAAACCAACATACACACTCACGTATGTTTATATATTTACATAAATGAGACGAAAAAGAAGAAGCGTGGCACTCCATGCACAAACAACTGAGACCAACAGCAGCAAGCGGTATTGGTGTTATGAAGGCTTGTAGTTGTTGTTTTTGTTAGGACTGCATTTCTAACCAGTGTTGCCGTTTGAAAATTTTATTTCCGCCCAAAATTTCACCAAAAAGTGCCCAAAATCAACAATTTATGCCCAAAAATTCAAAAAGTATACACTGACGTTAAATATTAAAAGCAAGGGTCCTTTTTGTTCTAATTTTTTCCATTTACAAATGACCGTCTGTCTGTCCAGTCATCCGGTGCGCACGATGTCTTTCGAAAGAAGTAACCGATCTCATCCAAACTTAGCACATCATCACATTTTTTCCAAATTTAAATCAAGTTCGGAGATAGAGAAACCTTCTGTGTCGAATTTTTTTCATCCTATATCAGATGAACGGAATGTCTGATTCAAACTTTCTACCTACTTTTACCAAACCTAAATCAAGTTCGAAGATGGGAACCCACGGGTCATTACTTCAGGTCAACATTTTAAAAGGTTGTAAATATTGATTTGATGCATTGATTGTATATCATAATATTTCACCAAATTTGCATTTAATCCGAATATGTGGCCTCTATGGCATAACCCTTTGATAAAAACATGTACCTTATATAAAGCGAATTGTAAATAATGTGTGGTCTAAACATGAAAGACCTTAATGCAATTATTGGTCACAATATAATAAAAAAGTTCAACCTTGGCTATAGAGTGTAATTTCAAAAACCTAGATTCAGGGTATATATATGTCAAAAACCGATAGAATGACCTTAAATAATACCAGGAAGCGGAGCAGAATATTCAGACGTGGCTGACCATACAATACCCTACACACAAACACTAAATATACATTTTCAGTCACCACATATGAACATTTTGGTATATCCGACTACATACGTCAAGATAGTTGAAATGATTTCAAAGTACAAATTATTTATTTTATTTCATATGTTCGTGGAAAAAACATGTGCACCATAGAATGACATGATCTTCAATGCCCAGATCCTCTTTCCGGTTAAATTACATGGTTTTCAGATCATACATAAGGTCTATAGAGCGATTAGAACCAAACATAAACATCCATGATTTTTTCCTGTGTAAAGTTTAGTCTTGTTCGGGTCATAATTGTGATCTCGAGAGCGACCAGAATACAGACAAAAGTAAAGTTTTAGATCCATTTGAACATATAAGAGTCGTCTTTGGATAGAACCTGATCCACATACAAATGGCGATTAATCCATACAAATTATAATGGACATACAGGCGGAAAAACAGGTCTAAATCGAATCAGCTAGTCGAAATATATCGGTGGTCTTGGAGCAATTATTTCGCAGTTTTACAAATTCTTGGGACAATAAAATTTCTCACAACATATTTGTAGGGTAAACAAATATATACAAAAATTTAAATGTTCCGCAAACGAAAAAATGCCCAAAATCCGCCCAAGTCCAAAATTTTAAATTTTTTATGCCCATTTTTGGGCATAAATGCCCACTTTCGGCAACACTGTTTCTAACGGCGAAGAAGAAAGTGGCAAACAAATATAAAATGCTTTAAAAACTAAACGCAAGATATGAGTTTATAATCCAAAAGATATTGAATGGTTGTATTGAAAAAAAAAAAAACAATTTTTGTTTATTTATCTTCAACATCTATTTTGATTTAAACTTTAGCTTCGGGGGTCATTACACTCTATTTGGAGTGAAGCATGATTTACAAAAGAGAGAGAGAGACAATGAAGTAAATCGGAAATAAATCGTTTTCCACCAGAACAAAAGGCAAATGTGTAGAATGGGTTTGGTCTATCCCGCCGTCGAGTGTCAACAGAAATGCATTGTAATGTTTACAATCAATTTGTCGTCTTCTTCTATGTGTGTCATGCAAAGAGTGGAAGGAAACACAACAAACCTACATTAAACATTTGTGTTCGCCATACAAAACTCGCCATTCATTGATGCGATTGTGCGATGTGGGTAGAGAGAGAGGGGACATTAAAAACTCTTTATGTGTGACGTCAGATATATGAGATATATGATTTTTAAATTGTTGACGTTCAAACCAGCCCATCAGCCCTACTGTTGTTTGCCGGGGTAATGTGAAAGAATTTCCAATTTTGATTATTATCGGCATTATCTTGTGTTGGAAAATCAATTGTCCGTTTCTTGCTACTTCAGAAAAAAGGTTTTACGTTTTTAAATTAATGACATTATCTTTATTTTTATTGGATAATAACGGTGATAAATAATGGCTTCTTAACTTGTGCTGGAGGAAATAATCAGCTTTTTTATAAGAGGTAATATTAATTGAATCATTTTTTTCATTTGATATATTTGAGAATTACATTTAAATAATGTTGTATAACAAAATATTTTGGTTAAGATCATTTTTGACTTCTAAATAAAGTACATATGAAATATGAATTGTTGTAGTAATAATATGCATAAACAATGAATATACCTATATTGATTCAAAGTGAAAATTCGAAACCCGTAGTGTACTTATATTCAGTACGTGCTGCATGTATACATTTCCCTCGTTTGAAGTTCGAAATAGCAAATTACAATAACTTTAATTCCGAATAAATATTTTAATTCATATCTTTTATACCATGATAAAACTTGCTTTATAGTGAATATTTGTTATTGATATTGATAAGAACATAGAATGTACTTCTTATTTTTAAGATAATCAATTCAAGACTTTATGGCTTCAAATATAAGGATAACTCCACTTTTTGGTATTGGCATTTCCAGAAATGTGAAAAATCAATGACAAATGAAATATACACTGCATCATGTGACAGAACATTGAACAATTAAAAAGATTTTTAGAGAATTCTCTGCCTACTCCAAATTGAGTTATTCATTCCAAAAAAAAAAATTAAATTTTTTAAATACACAAAACATTTAAGAGAAATTGAAATAAAACAACAAAGAAAAAAGTAACTGTACTTACGATTACTATTGCCATGGAACTCATCATCGGGTATTTGTTGACCCAAACTTTTGTTCATGGCAGATGTAGTGGGAGAGCTTTGATCAAATGCCGAAAATCCAGATGTATTCGTCAATGTCGTCGATGTAGCCGAGACAGCTGTAAATACTTCTTCCATGGGAGATGGTGTTGATTTTTCATAATAAATATCCTTTTCATCTTTAATTTTGATATTGGTCTGTTCCTTTTCGGAGAGTACATCGCCACCGTAGCTATGAATCGATGGGCGCTTTTGTATGAAATGTAAGGATTCTGAACTTTCATTAGCAATTGATTTCGTTTTCATAGCCACAGTTGGTAGGGGTGGTGATTGTGGACGCTTTTGCATTGTGGGCAATGGTGGTGAATTGCTTCGCTTTTGCATTGTGGGCAAAGGCGGTGAATTGGAACGTATGGAATCAAATTTAGTTATTGTTTGATTTTGCAAAGCAGGTGATTGCGATCTTTGCTGTAGTGTTGGTAAGGGTGGTGATTGGGAACGGGTTTCATGGAAAGCAGATGCCATAGGTTTAGTGACATTTAACGATGCTGTCTCAATTGCCATTGTGGCATTTTGTGGTAAAGTATCATCAACATCCATGGCGGCATAACTGGTATCCATGGGTGTTGGCTCTTCGCTGGGTACATTAAAGGTACGTCTCGATTCAACCTTTTCCTTGGGCAGTGTTGCATCTGCCTGGATTGTTGATTGTTCTGAAATATCATTAAGACAAAAAGTACGTCTAGTATTTTCGGTCTTTTCTTTAGCAGGGAATGTACTACCCAATTCTGAAGGAACCTCATTTGATTGTACATTGAAAGTCAAACGCTTATTGTCCGTTTGAGATGGTCCTACACGTTGCTCCTCAACATTAAATGTGAGACGTTTATTCTCCTCTGTAATGGGCAAAGTGCCACCCTGATCCACACCGAATGTTAGACGATTTTTGTTCCTCACTGGTTGGCCGGGATGTACAAATGTTGCATTCATATTACCACTATCATCCACGTCTTGAGTGGTGACTTTGCTTTCCAGATTTACCATATAATCAGATTTCTCTAAAAAGGTTGGTTTTGCCTGCTCCATCTTCAATTTTGGAGATTGAGGGAAGGCACTGACGTTTGATGTCTTTTTAATGGGGAAAGAGGGAGAACTGGGGGCTGACGATTTAAGGCTACCGGTAGAGGTACTTAAAGATGTTGTTACATTTAATTTAGATGTTGGACTTTTGGCCGAAACACTGCTGGAGTTGCTGGTGTTCATAACATTAATGGTTAAATTCTTTTGGTCCATGCTATTGGAAGCTGCCGATTCTTTTGTAGCGTTAAGATTATCCCCGTTATCTACCGTCTCCAAATGAGTTTCATTGTTAACTGTTGTTATAACGCATTCCGAACTTAATGTTTTAGACTTATTCATGGGTATTTCAATACTTTTGTTTAAGGAAATATCATGAATGGATTGTTCCATTTCCAAATGCTGTAAGGGCTTTTCATCGATCTTAATATTTTCTGGATTTACAACAAAGGTCATTTTGGAAGATTCGGTCGGCTTGGCAATGGAACCAATTATTTTGACTTCATCTTCCACCGCTGGTCTATTGTCAGCAATTGGTTGAGTTGGCCCTTCCAAGTTGTGCAATATATTCTCTACGTGTTGTATTACCTTTTCAACATTCTCTATATTTTGTGCAGAATTTTGTATCATTTCCATGGTGGCATTCATATCCACATCCATGGGTTCCTCTTCATATTCCAGGGAGGGATGAATTTCTTCTTGGCGCTGATATCCAACAATTACCTCTTCAATAGTCTGAGTTTGGCCCACATCCATTGTTATATCTGCAGCACTTTTAAGATCGTCCTGTATCGCACTTTCATAACATTCACCCTCACCAACTTCTACAGTGGTATTCAGTGTTGGTTGTTCTGCAAATGTTGTTGCCAGGGGATCTCTATCGTCCACCGCATTTCCATCCTGGCAATCTGCAAATGTTTCATTTGCCGATGACATTGAAGTGTTGTCCATTTCGTGTGGCAATAGCAGATGTGTTTTTTCTACTGGCAGTTCTATATGGAGGAGGGTAATGTTTATTTGTAAATATTTCGATAAATTAGTTTGCAATATGGGAAAAGTGGGACAAAGACAATTTGATACCTTTTGCACTCAGCTTTGCTGTTAATGTTGGTATAAAACATTCTTCGAAAGTTACATTGTATTGTTCTATGGAAAGAAGGCATAAAAATCAAATAAGCATTTTGCTGCTATGTTTAAATTTTGTACCAATTACTAATCATGCTTAAGTGGTAGTTGAGCCATGTGCAAGACTATGCAAAGTTTTTTTTTTATGATACCAATAGATATATTTACGATGTGCTTAAAGCAGCAGAGCAACATATAAAGCTTTTTGAAAAGAGATTATTAAAATTGTGAAATATTCCCAATAACAAATGTAAAAAAATACTGACGATTATATATTTTTATGGAACAATCAACCTGAAGATATATAACCTTCTTCGATTTGTCAAGTGAAAAAATGTAAAGCATTTTGAAACCGTTTCGTCTTCAACAACGTGAAATTGAGGATATTAAGGGATAATGATATATGAAAGAGTAATCCTCAAACAGAATAAGTCGTAATCGAATATGTAATAATCGTAAATTTATTTACACAATTTTTGTGTGTACTTACTATACCTAATACTTGTTAAACTTTCAAAAGTTAGCACTTTAGAGAGCATATACTCTTTGGTTTTATATATAAATATGACATAAAAATAAACCAGTTGACAAGTATCTCAAAAACATATCAGTCAAAACTTTTAGCACGACAATTGATAAAGAATTTGCAAGGGAAGCTTTTGACAAGCAAAGGACTAATATGAAATACGCACAAACCTTTTAGAGAATTTGTTTTTATAAAAAACAACTATTTATTAGTGGGGAATGCATGGCATTGTTTGCCGAGGGGGTAAGGCAGGGAAGACTATAGTTTCGGATCACGCCACTGATCCTCATCAGTTCCCTTAGTTTTTTGTTGGGATATTTTCCCCAGAAGCTATTGCTTCTATACAAAAAACCTTTCAAACCCAAATGTCTCTTGTAACAAAGCGAAGTACTTAGCTGACCAACGACATAAACTGTATGAGAATTTCGCTTTAGCCTTACTTCGAGGTTAACAAGGCATTTACAAACAATTCCATACCTTTTATAAAAACAACAAACTGGGATTCAGCCTGACTATTTTGCAAAAACAAAATACAAATGGTATCCCAAATAAACCGCCAACACTACTGAAGTTGTAGACGCAGGCACGGTTAAACTGTTTGGTTTGTTGCTGTATACTAGCAACACCAACAAAGTCGTTGTGTGCATTTGTCGCGATGTGACAACACACAACAGTGGAAAAGGTATGGAATTGTTTGTAAATGCCTTGTTAACCTCGAAGTGAGGCTCCAGCGAAATTCTCATACAGTTTATGTCGTTGGTCAGCTAAGTACTTCGCTTTGTTACAAGAGACATTTGGGTTTGAAAGGTTTTTTGTATAGAAGCAATAGCTTCTGGGGAGAATATCCCAACAAAAAACTAAGGGAACTGATGAGGATCAGTGGCGTGATCCGAAACTATAGGCTTACCTGCCTTACCCCTCGGCAAACAATGTCATAAATTCCCCACTAATAAATAGTTGTTTTTTATAAAAACAACAAACTGCGATTCAGCCTGACTATTTTGCAAAAACAGAATTTGTTTATTTTGTGAATAATTCATTTCGAAACGTTCATTAAACGTTAAGTAAAACTATTTTGATTAATTACTAATTTTATGTATTAAATATGGCGACTAAAGAAATCCCAATAGGGTCACTACTGAATGTTAATTACCCAATATATAGTTACATTTTTTACAGACACACCGAAGATATTATTTGAATTTGGTTAGCTAATGATTTTATTTAGATATGATTTGAAATTCATTTACAGCACACCCCTCCCCTTCATGATTAGTAACAAGTACATGAGCTACAATATCGAATTCAATTCAATTCACTTACCTTCAATATTGGGATTTAAATCTCCTGGTAATTCGGGAATTTTAGCTTCATCGAATTCTGTTAGACCTGTTGAAAACAATTATATTTTTGTTGAACAAAAATTAAAAATAAATGCCACTCAAAACAACTTACCCACAAACTTATTTGATGACTTATTGGCGACGCTTGATGTATTTTGCAATTCTGTTGCAGTTTCAGCAGTCGGTTGATGTTGTTGGTGGTGGTCATCGAATAGACCAGTTGCCAATTCTGGATCGACATGAAATTTATGTAAAGTAGAATTTGCCTCAAAGACGGCAGGCGAAGCAGCAGCAGCTGTACCGGCAGCTGTCTGTTGTTGGACTCCATTGTTGGTGGGAGTTTTTGGTGTGGACTTTGAATTGTTCAGTGAGGTCTTTGAAGACAAGGGACTGTGCTGTAAATACAAGAGGGGAAATCAATGGTAAATTATAATTAAAACTCAATGCACAACGAATCAAAAAATAAATACGTAACTATATTGAAAATTATTTTTATGCTAGATATTGGTTTTGGCAGCATTTCGTGATTTTTTTAAAAACTCAACAAATAAAAAAAATCCTTTTCAAATATTTCTCTTGTGAATCTCTTCACCTTAGGTTTGCATGTGTCGGCGGGGTTGGATCGGCTTGTTTTTTTAATATATTCAAAATCAATGTCATGTTCAGATATGCTTGCATGTTTAGTAGTTCACCCACCGTCTGGCAAAAGAAAATCTTTTTTCAAACAACAACAAAATCATTTTCACAAATGAAAATGGAAAACGGCCCCTCCCGACTGCAATGTGCCATGCAAACGAACTTTTTACAAGAAAATCTTTATGGCACGTAAATAAGGCGTCTACATGTACCCCCCGAGGAATATGCACAACGCCACAGTTACATATTATTAAACAAATTATTTTTTCTTTAAATTTATTTTTTAATTTCGCAAACATGACAAACTAGAAATGGCATAAACAAAATAAAATAAACCATATTTCACAAAAATAAAAGAAAAAAACAACATATACTCAACGGTTTGTTCTGCTCATCTGGCTAATAAGCCATGGGAATGAAGATGAAAAAGGGTTTATCTCTGATCACGTCATGCAATCAGAATAAAATTAGATGACAAAATCTCTCATAGGCAAAATGTGCATTGGCCAAATAAAATTTAAAATAATAATTTGAAATGCGCTCTACTACATGTTGTTAATTATATGTGACGTTGAAATTTATTGCACATGTTTTGTGTTGCCGTTATGAATAATGCGGACATTTGAGGTCATTGTTGGTTGAATAGGTTTCCACACCTTTCAAAAGAAACAATTTTTTTAAAATTGGAATAAAGACATTTTGGGTGAAACGATATAGCTGGGATCCTGAAATTTGGAGTGAGGATCATTATTGGGGTGTATGATTTTGGTGTATGTAGAAAAATTGGAAAATTGGTTCTAATGTGTACTATTATATGGTTGCAAATTTTGATTTGGGTCAACCAATAGAGCTGGAATTAGGATCATTGTTAGGGGGATAGAATTGAGTTATTTATGAAGTTTTGGAAATTCCTACTAATGTGAACTAAATTTGGTACAATATAAATTTTGAGTGAAGTTTTGGAATCTTGTAGTAATGGTACAAATGTGGATTTTTGTGATCCTATTAAGCTGGAATCTTTAAATTTGACGTTAGGATTACTGTTGGGGTGTAGAATTGGACTTTGTAGAATGTTTTGGAAATTCGTACTAACGTGTACTAAATTTGGTACAATTTAAATTTTGGGTGAACCAATAGAACTGGAATCTTGAAATTTGATGTTGGGATCACCGTTGGGGTGTAGGATGGGGGTGTGTAGAAAGTTTTGGAAATTCGTACTAATGTGTACAAAATGGTACCAAATGTGGATGTGGGTGAACTGATAGAGCTGGAACGCTGAAATTTGGGAATAGAGTTACTGTTGAAGTGTAGGATTGAGGTATGGATGTAGTTGTGGAAATTCCTACTTATGGGTACTAAATTGTACTGAATTTGGTACAATTTGAATTTTGGGTAAACTTATAGAGCTGAGATTCTGAAAGTTGGAGTTAGGATCATTGTTGGGGTATGGAATTGGGGTATGTAGGAAATTTTGGAAATTTGTATTAATGTGTACTAAATAACACCAAATGTGTATTTGGGTGGACCGATAAAGGTAGAATCTTGACATTTGGAGTTAGCGTCGCTGTAGGGATGTTAAATTGGGGTAGGTAGGAAGTTTTGGACATGTCTTCTAATGTGTACAAAATAGCATTAAATTTGGTACAATTTGTATTTAGAAAAAAAAATTAGTAACTGGTACTAAATTTATATTTGGGTGAACCTATATTTGAAATTTGGATTTTTTTTCGAAATAAATATTACAAGAGTACAAAGGGTAATAAATTATACCAAATTTCGTATAGAGCTAGATTGCTGTCGCGGCCAGAATTGGTGATATATGGAGGTACTTTGGAAATACGTACTATAAGAGAACATACTAAAATTTTAATTATGATCGTTATTGGTTTTTAAATAATTCTCACATTCGCTAACGAAGTTGCGGGCATATGCTAGTCATTGATAAAGCAGATCTCGACGATCTTGAACACATTGTGAACTTAAAAAAAAATTTGCCACACATTTATTTTTGTTAATCTAGACGTTATATATTATGGTGCCATATATATTTATCTGCATATGTAAGTGATTCCCTATATATTTGTTTTATTTTATCAGGAAATTGTATTTAGATAAATATTTTTAAAAATATCACTCTTAATATCTGGTTTGAAGAACACATATATTTCTATACAAATTACGGTATTATTTATATTATAGATTTGGTTTCTTATAATGTGTTGCTAACAAACATTCCAACGTTCCGCTCCTTTTTTCCTATAAACTTTTTTATTTGTTTTAAATTAAAAAAAACTTTTGATTTGTTTACATTTCTTTATAATGGACCATGCTGATGCTGCTAACATACCGGAAGAGGTCAGTTGCCGCTATGGTACCTTGATGTATAATTAAGTTATGCCACGTATCAAGGATAGAGAAAGAGTTCATGCCTGTCCACGAGAGAGTAGAGGTCATTGTGTTATTTAACAACATTAATATGAAAAACAAAAAATCAAATAAGGCAGCCACGACAGTCTATGCACCAGTCAGCCAGCCAGCCAGCCAGCAGCTGCTGTTATTCTGTTGCTGTTCGCCCACATTAGCCATAATGTTTTCATTTTTGTTCTGGTTCTATAGTGCAGTACAACATATTGTGGCGACGAATGTTTTTAAACTTTGTTTTGTTTTCTAATTAAATTACAGAGGGAATTTGATTTAGAAAAGCATTTAAAAAATTAATTTTATTTGTGTGGTGCTTTATGAATGGAGAAAGAGGAAAGAGAAATTAGAATATTTGAGTGACTAGAAAAAAGTAAAACTGCTGAATGCAGTCTCGAAAAATTATAATATAATATAATAGAACTACATCGGGAATACTTGTAGATATATGAGAAATAAATTTTCATTATTACTGTAAATGAAACAAATTTTTGTAAATAAAAAAAAAAGTATTTTGCTGGACTTAATCATTAATCTAAACTTGAACACTTTTCTTTTCCTAATAAGTATTTTCATCAGTCTTATTTTGACATATTAAGACCAGATAAAATATATATTATATAAATATTGTTTTATCAGATGAAAAATGAGGCCAAAATAGAATAGAAAAACAAAATCACAAACAAATGAAAAAGCTGAAATGAAAATTTGCATATTTCTGTTTAATTTAATTGAAAGTGACAAATGGCTTTTAATGAAAACACTTTCGAAGAGAGACAATAATGACGACGACACACAAAAAATAAGAACAATGACAATTAGAAAAGAATACACAACCAACCGCAAAATAAAATACAAAATGAGGCGTAAATGGCTGGCGGGGCATAAAAAAACCATGGTCAATAGGCCAACGTCCAAGCATTTTCACACCAAAAAAAGTGGACGCACACCCAACAAAATGTCTCTTTTTTGCACACTATTTTACATAGAAGAACCAAGTAAATTCGGGGAGAAGGGTAATGAATTTTTTCTGTTAAAATAAATTTACCTCAGATTTTTGGTGAGGCGATGCAATGGCCAAAACCTCATCGTTAATACCCGCCAAAGTAAGATTATCTGTTATTTCCGATAAAAGTTCATCGATGGTCTGTGAGGCTGTCATTGATGAGGTAAGAACTGGTGGAGGTGGCGGTGGGGACGGAGTCTGTGAATGCATGATGTTATCATCATCGGGCGGTAAAAGTAATGGCGGTGGTGGTGGAGGCAAATACTCTTCATCGAATTCTTTAAGTACTTCCTCGGGAACACCAATAAAATCAGTGATATTGCCATTTAACGAAGAGGTCATGGATGATAAAGGACGGTTGTGCAGCTGTGGTTCTGGTGATGGACTTGGTGGTTCAATATTCTGCCGAAATTCTAAAGGAATTTGTTGTTGCAATGTTGGAGGATTACTTTCATTAATAATTTGCTGATGTTCTAAAGTAATTTCTTCTTGACATTTTGGTAATTGTTCGTCAACACTTTGAAGATCTGTGTTTTCTCTAGGAATATTCTGAGAATCCTGAGTTTGATTATCGGAGGGAATTTTTGGAATACTATTTTGAAGACCTTCCAAATTATTTGATTCAAAGGATTTCTTATTATTATCCTCAATATTTGAAGAAGTTTCAGTAGTCTTTGCTTGGTTATTGGCATTTGGAGAATCCACTAAATTAGTTTGACTATCCTCTAAATTATCTGGATTATGCATTTTTGGTTCTTGTCCCTCAATGTGTTTCTGTAAATGTGTTGTAACATTTTCTTCTTGGTTTCCAGTTTTTTGTTGAATTTGAGTTTGTTCTTGCTGAGTATTAACATCCTGAGTGATTTGAGTAACATTATCTGCCAAATTATCTTCCTTAGGAGTTTGAGAAATTCTATTGGAGGAATTGTCATTTGTTTGTTGATTCTGATCGTTAATGTATTCTTGAGGCTCTGCTGCTTGTTCCTGATGTTCTTCTGGTTTTATTTGTAATTCCAAGTTGTGACTTTCTGCAGATATTTGTGAAGTTTCTTCAGATTGCTTTTGTTGAGCTCCATTATTTTGATTTTGAAGCTGGTTTTGTATCTCAACATTGTCTTGTTTGGGATGCGATTGTAGTTCTTGTATATTTTTTAAATCTTCGGATTTATTGTCTTCTTCTTGTTTGTAAGATGAGTTTTGAGCTTGAAATAGTTCCGCCTGCCTGTCAAGCACCTTACCATTTTCAGATTCGTTATTTGAGTTTTTAATGTGCGATTCAATTTCCGCAACTTTTTCCCGATTATCTTCTGAATTTAGTTGATTTTTCGAAACGCGTTCATTGGTATCCTGAACATTTTCCTCCGTAATTCCTTCCTCCCTTTTATCACTGTTCTTCAAACATGTATCACCAAAATGTTGAGAATCCTGAATGTTAGGATTACAATTTTCGGAATCGCTTAGTTTATTTGATTCTGTATTTGTTTCCAAAGGGATTTCCTCTGAAATATCCTTATTTAAAGATTCTTGATTTTCAATACTGCTATTCTTTTTATCTTTATTATCATTAGGATCTTGAACGACATCAGTTTTTAAATCGGTAGAAGATTCTTCTATAACATTCTTAGAGAAAATATCATTTTGTTTTACTTGGTTCTCATCACAGATATTATGGTTTTGATCTTCAACATTTCGATTTGGTTTCAAGTCAGTAGAACTCACATTCTGTTGTTGTTTGTCATCGCCGTTATTAGGACTCTTATTTTTATTTGCCGTATTAATGGATTTTACTTCAATATTAATTTTTGGAAGTATTTCAGGATTTTCCACACTCTCATTGGGTTTGGTATTTTGCTGCATATTTACAATTTCACCAACACCTGTTGAATGAGTAATTCTTAAATCCTTTTGAAGGATTTCTAAATTTTCCATTTGTTGAACTCCCTCCTTTACCATGGAAGTCATATCCTTTTGAAGGAAATCGATATTTTCCATTTGCTCAACTTCTTTGGCTAATGAATTCAAATCCTTTTGAAGGATTTCGATATTTTCGAAACTTCCTATTGTTGTTGGACGTGATGTGGAATTGGGTCTTGGTTTATTTTCAATATTTTCACAATTTTCTTGTTGATTTTCCTTTGGCTGATTAGCGGAATTCAATTCCTTTTGAAGACTTTCTGCATTTTCAAAGCTGCCAATTGTTGTTGGCCTCGATGTCGATTCTTGTGGTTTATCCGTGACTTCACCACCACCGCTGACTAAACTCACTGGTCGTTTGATTAAATTCGAAATGAATTCCATAGTTTAGGGTGTGTGGAGGTTGGTTGGTTTGTGGCCTCCTGAAGTCTGTCTTTCGCTTTATGCTTGAATGGCTTTTCTTATTTTATTGATTTTTTTCTAAGTTTGGAAAAATCAATTTCACTTTTTTTTCCTAAGAACAAAAATATCACGTAATTTTTGCTATGCTTCACACACAAATACACGAAAGCATTCATATATCATTTGTTGTTTTTATTGATAATGCTACTTTATTAATAAATGACCGTGATCTTCTCAAATCAAATCGACGACGAGAACACCTAATTTTTTTACGCACAATGACAATTAAATATTTTCCTTTTTTCAATTTCCAAATTAATACATTTTCTTTTCTGGGAAAATTTATATATTTCCTACTCTTTATAATGTTGCTTAATTATGCTATGGTTTTAAACTATTAAGTTTGCTATTTCTGTTTGCCGATCAACCGCCGTATCGTACGAACACACGTTTCTCGGGCGTTTGAAATTCACATTTGAATCGATATTTTTTGGTTGCTTTTCATTTGGTTTTCAGACAATTTTTTTGTGACTTTTCCCTCTTTTTCAAGTGTTTTAAATTTTTTCTTTTTTATTTTTTTGCTCTGTAGTTGCATGCATGAGGCGCTCGCTCTTGCCACACTGCTACTCACACCCATTTCAATTTACTCAACCATATGTTTTTCCTCCTATTTGGGGGAGAGATGAACGAACGAACAAGCAGGGAATTGTGAGGGTGGATGGGAAACAAAAACAAGGAGTTAATATATGATCACTTTTTGTTTTTGTGTTTTGCCATCAACCTCCTCGAATACTCTTCTCTACAAATGAATGAATGCATCCCAAAACAAATTCTCCCCATACTCTACTCTATCTCACACCAATGCCGGGATAAATTAGGTTTTTTGTTATATTTATTTCAATTGTTTGGTTGGTTGTTGTTGTTTAAAAATTTGCTCTTGATCTCATTGAAGAAACGCCATCATTTGTATTCTTGGTGTTGTTGATATTTCTAATGAGGGGTGTCATTTGGATGCTACTACTGTTGTTGTTGTTTCTGTTGCAACAACTATGTCTAGTCTCAGTCAAAATTTAGTTTTGTGTGTGTGTTTGTTTGTGTGTTTTTTTTTTTTTTTGGGAGACGAATAAGTCTTTAATCTTATTTTCGTTGTTTTTTCTTTAAATGTTTTGGTGTCAAAAATATTTTTGGTTAGGCATTTGTTTAGAAAATCTAGATGATTAGTGTCTGTTTATTGATGGTTATTCGAATAATTTAACTGAATGCTGATCGGGTATTGATTTTTCATATTCTAGATGATATGCTAAGTATTCACATATTTTTCAAAAACACAAATCAAAAGGATCGCGGAAAAGGATCAACAAACGAAAAATTAATCAAAATGCAACCAAACCCAATTTTATATATTTACGCGGCTTATTATCATTTTTTTATAATTATAAACAAATAAAACAAAAACAGTTTTAACAAATTAAACACAAATAACGTCAATATTTTTCAATGTAATTCAATTAAATTGTTTAAAGAAGAAACGACAACAGCGGTAGACGACACACGACCGGTAAACATAACCGGCTAAACAAAACTGAAACAAATTCAAACTAATGCCAATCGACAAGAGCACCTTCGCCATTAGACATACAGACAGATAGATAGTCACAGAGATAGCAGTTGTAGGCTGGCGGGGACCCTACTGGATCTCCTATGCATAAAAAGTGAACAAAGATATTGCCCGAACCCCCTACACATCCTCTTCCACCATGCATCACCCATACCATGAGCACTCCACCCAACACTGCTGCTGATATTAGTGGCATGCAGGCGGCAGCTGTAGTAATAAATTTTGTAAAAAATCTAAGACACAATCATGCATCAGTAAAGTTATGCCCACAAGACCTACTCGGGATGCCTTGCAACAATGGTTAATAGAAAAGAAACAAGCACAAGGCAATAAATGCAGCGACGAGAGAGAGAGCCTAGCTCAGTTAATACAAATAGGAGAATGGATGGGGATATTAGATCATGAAAATAGAACACATCGCGGGGTTTGGTTCAATAAGTTTGGTAAAATGTCATTCAATTGTCATTCCTATTAAGCGTGAGACATCTGCCTCTTAATTCATAAAAGTTCTTCTGAAGTTCCCGTTCGAATAGTGCCTATAATTAGGACTTTTATAGTGTCCAAAAATTTAGATGAATATTGAATGGATACTATAGACCGGTGCCATCGTCTTCTAAATAAATAGAAAAATGCAGCCAAACCCATAGTTTTCTTTGTGCAAACATCAACAATTATAGGTGGTATTGCAGGTTATGTTTTGTTCATCCTCGACATATATATGGAAAAATGTTGTGTGAAACAGTTTTGAGCTATTGCGAACAATTTTTATTTCATAATAAATAAATGTGCCCTCAAATGGCATGGCTACTTAGGTTAGGTTTGAGGATGTGCAGTCACTAATGTGACTGAAGCACTCGGAGACCACCCGGTTCATTGTGATCATCCATGAAAGATATGGAGAGATTTGTAGGAGAGAAAGGGAATAGAGAAGACAAGAAGCTAATAAGGAAGTAAGAGGAGGTAGGTATTAACTAGTGTATACATTTTAGACAAAAAACATATTACGTGCTAAGGTTGCACTTTCCCAACCACTTGAGGTTTCTGATGATGCTGTAGATTAAAGCCGGTTCCATAGTTGAAAAAAAAACTTAGACGCGGTGGAAAGTGAGAACCCACTAATTTGTGCCGTATGTAGGCCAGGACTGGACAACGACACAGCAGATGCTCAATTGTATTCGTGTCGTCCTCGTCATCACAGAGTCTGCAGTAATCAGTAACATCACGGTCCAACTTACTGGTAAAGGTCCTGATATATCAATAACTCCTGTCATTAGTCTAATTTCAGCTTATCTCAGGTTCAACAGTGAGTTTGTTCTTTTGACTGACAGAGTCTGCCAGATAGACCTTGACGTATTGCACCTAGGTTCGTTGTGCCAAAGTTCATTGGCTCGTTCCTCGAAGAACTCCTCAAAATTCCAAAACAGCTGATAGCTGTGTTGGGTACCAGGATCAGGTATCTGTAGATCAGAGTTTCCAAAACTGATCTACATTCGAGGACGATGTCAGACTTGATATTACAGGATTTGTGGGCTTTAAGAGCCGACTAACTATAGTCAAAGATAATCACCGGTTCTGTTCACAGACTTTTTATCAATTCCGCTGCCTTCCTCCAAATCGCGAAGATTCCAGCTTGGAAAACACTACATTTGCTATCCAACTTGTAGGTAAGCTCAAGGCCTAGGCTTTATGGCTGACATGGCTACTTGGAGGCTTGGATATACTGTCAATATATACATATATAAAAAAGTGACATAATTGTAATGTCTGTAGTTTTTTTCAAACATTTGGAAAACATAGAAGGAAAATATATTTGTTTCAAATTCCATACATCCCTCGTTCAATTTCCACACAAAAAATCTTAAACATAAAGTAAAAGAAGTGGGAGGAGGAAGAAATCATTGTCATAGAAGACGCAAAAAAACATCACAAGAAAACATTTAGGTAGTCTACCTTTTTAAATAGCAAAACAAAAACAAACTTGAGGGGAACAACAATTCCACATCATCTAAGAAAATGCATGCCGATGACGTGTGAATGTGGAAATAATAGAGTAAAAGAATGTGGAACATGATGAGACGGGGGAACACAAAGCTGCACAGCTGTGTAGAAATGAATGCCGCCGCGCCATAGCAAACAATTGGTGGCGCTGTTTTTTGTTGCGCCTTTGTCGACTTCTTGTATCTTGTTAAGGTTGAATAAATATTTTGCATAATTTTTATATGAGGTTTAACTTGTTTTCATTTTTTTTTTTTTGTTTTGCATTGCTTGGTGTTCTCCTTATATTTAAATTTTTCTAGGTCTTTTTGCAAAAAATACCAACATCTTCGATTTCCATATAGATTGTGAAATGTTTATTTACCACAATATATACAAACCAAAGCTGTTTAGCAATGGCGTAGCTGGAGTAAATTTGTAGGAGAGTTGGGACAAACAGAGGTTCGAAAGCCCCTTTACAAATGTTTATCCTCCAGAAAACATTCTGAAAAATTTTACAATATTGTATTGAAGTACATCAAGTGTATGTGGAAACACAGGCACTCCTCCCCAGATATCCTGACCAACGTCAATGATTGTCCGTAGTTTAAATTTAATTTTTTCTTCTCTGTTTCAGCTTCGTTTGTTGTACTAAGTTGCGTTTGCCATTCACAAACAACCATATTGAGTGGCATTTATGATGGACAAAGAATAATCGAATGTTGGTCTTAATCGAATGTAGACTATTGAGTGGTTTTGCATTAATGCGCCACCGCCCGCCATACTTTATATATCATGCATTAACATGGAAATACCATCGTGTTACAAATTAAGATATCAAAGAACGGAAAGTTGAATACTTTGATGAGAGATAGAAGAAGGTTTGTTAGCGCCAATAGAGGAAATAATATAATAAAAAAATAATAACGTAGTTCCAATAAAACAAAATGTTTATACTCTCCAACATGAGATAATTTCAATTAAAAAACGATCGAGACCTTTATATTGTTCTTATTATTATAGTCCACCAAAAACCCGGAATTATAGTCACTTGCTTGAAAAAAGCCCATCAAAAATGAAAATGAAGCGGAAACATTATATAGAAAATAATAGAAAATAATCAACATTGATGGATAAATTGCTGCCACTTCAGCTTGGCCATCAAAATACCGAAATTGGAGCGTGACCTTTATAAGGGCCTATTTTTATACCCTTCACCACAACACTGTGTTATTATATATTTGTACATATGTTTGTAACAGGCAAAAGGAAACGAGATAGACAAATGGTTCCTTTTGAGAATATGCATAGAATTTATTTCTGAGTTGATTTATGCATGTCCGTCTGTCTGTCCATGTTAAATTGTAAACAAAGTACAGGTCGCATTTTT